GCCGCACTCAACGACGGATGGTTCGGGCGATCATCGGATCTCCGAGAAGGCGCACAAACGTCACCTTACGAATGCACGCCGCACCAACAGCAGACAGCCACAGCAACCACGTCGCAGACAGCGTCCACCCTGACGACTCCAGCGACCACGACGCATCCAGCAACCCCCCCTCCCCATCAGAACAGATCAGCTCACAAGAAGACAACAGTGACGCACGCCAGACCCACGAGCAGACGACAGACGAAGACGAGCTGTGGTCGGACTTCATCCGCTGGAGCACACGTAGGGCTGAGGAACTCATGAGCAAGCAAGACATCCCCGACGTAGTAAGATACATCGCGCAAAAGTCTGGCGTTGGGCCGCACTCGTTTCAAGCCATCCGCAGAACCGATGGACACACCGCGTGTTGAATTGGAACCCCAGCCTCGACGCAAAACAGCAAGGCCACCGGCAGCACAGAGGCCAAAAGAAAAGATGGGACGACGACGCAAGGAAGTTTTTGGCAAGCCTGCACGCGAACACGAGGGACGAAGCCATGGACAGCGACACCAACGACGCCATCCATCCACGACGATACCTCCACTACGACAGTAACGACGTGAGATGGTTGACAGCCGCGACAGACACCACATGGTGGGACTCTCTTGAGAGCGCTTTCAATGCATAGAACAGCTGAGGGCGCAAACTCCCCGACGCCAGTTGCACCAATAAATTTTCCTGACCTCCAGCGCCGACGCCAAATATCCACCACCACCAGCACAACAGCACCGAATATACAGGAACACCGACTACACCACCGATGATGATGATGATGATGATGATGATGATGATGATGATGATGATGATGATGATGATGATGATGATGATGCTGATGATGATGATGGTGATGATGATATATGCCGTGGATGGGGCGATTCTGGTGCCAAAACGGTGATGGTAAAACGGTGATGGTGATGGTAACCGCTCTGGCTGACACAGACACGGAGCCATTGGAATTCCTGAGTGAGACTTCTACCCCTGACGATTCTAATCGACCGATTCACATCGACATTAACACAGCGACGCCGACAGCGACACCGACGGCAACACCAACAGCAACGCAGCAGCGACACCGGCATACAGCACCGACTACCGACGACCATCAACAGGAGCAGCCACGACGCCGACCACGCCGACTCGATCCTGACCAGGTTCATGGACATCCTACATCCTCTGTCACGCCTTCTACTTCTCCCGGCTCGCACGCATATCGTTCCTTGCCTGGCTCGTGCGCTGGTCCTTGAGGAACTTCGTCCACGACGTCTATTCGGAGACGATCTGACGCCACGGCCTCTTGCGCCCTGCCCAAAAGGGCACGGGCACACCTGTGTGCCCGACTCTGGCGCCCTCGCCTCGCCGTCGCCTCGGATCGCCTCGCCACCATGCCTGGGTTGTTGGCCTGAGGCCTTTTGTATATGTGTTGAGGTGTCGTGGGGGGCCTCTCGGGGGCCTCTTGGAGGCGGTTTGGGCGCTTCTTGGGGGCCTCTTGGGGCCTCGTGGTGTATATTTTGGGCCTCTTGGAGGCCTCTTGGGCGCTTCTTGGGCGCCTCTTGGGGCCTGTTGGGGCCCCTTGGCGGCCTCTTGGGGCCTCTTGGCGGCTTCGCGCGACTTCTCGGAGCGCTTCTAGGGCAGCCGTCTTAGGGCCCTCTTGGAGGCGTCTTGGGCTGTCTGGGGGCGGTCTTGAGAGCTTCTTGAACCGTCTTGGAGCGTCGGAAAGCTGAAAATGCGATTAGGCCAAAATCCTTCAACATGATCGACCCACGAACCCGGAAAAAGGAATCTAGAAATGTAACGCATGGCAGCGTTTTCAATGACACCTGACTGGGTGACGGGCAAATGCAATGCTGAGTGTATAAATTTTGATGTACCCTGCCGAGGGCTGTGCTGTGCTGCGCCGTTCTGAATTGCGATGTGCCGTGCCGCGATTGTGCTCTATAGCGTCGTGGATCGAGTCCTCCTTTGCATCCGAGTCCTGACCGAACTGATCTGGATCTTAAGCTCGAGCTGCCTGAACACACAGTAGCTGCCCCAGAGCTGATTGACAGGAGGACATGCCAGGAGGACGCGCCGCGGAACGTCCCAAGGGACGCGCCAGGCGACGTGCCAGGGGACGTGCCATGGAGTCGCACCGCGGGACGTGCCAAGGGGACGCGCTACGGAACGTGCCAATGGATGTGCCACGGGATGTGCCAGGGGACGCGCCACGCGACGTGCCAGGGGGACTCGCCAAGAGACGCCCCACGGAACGTGCCAAGGAACGTGCCAGGTTGTCGTTCTTGATGTGCCGTGCCGAAGTCTGTGCTGTGCTGCGCCGTGCTGAATGGCGATGTGCCGTGCCGCGATTGTGCTCTATAGCGTTGTGGATCGAGTCCTCCTTTGCATCCGAGTCCTGGCCGAACTGATCTGGATCTTAAGCTCGAGCTGCCTGAACACATAGTAGTTGCCCCAGAGCTAATTGACAGGGGGACATGCCAGGAAGACGCGCCGCGGAACGTCTCAAGGGACGCGCCAAGCGACGTGCCAGGTGACGTGCCATGGGGACGCACCGCGGGACGTGCCAAGGGGACGCGCTAAGGAACGTGCTGGGGACAAACGTTTCGCTCGAGACATCCTGGCAACATCCTCATGTTAAACATCCGCCTGAGCGACCTGGACACGTGACAACAAGCGATTCGCTCAACACATCTTCGAAACATTCTCATGCTAGGCATCCACCTGGGCGAACTGGACACGTAAAAACAAGTGGTTCGCTCGAAACATCGTCAACACATCTTCATGTGATACGTCCGCCTCGGCGACCTGGGCACGTGAAGACAAGCGTTTCGCTCGAGACCTTTTCAACATCTCCTCATTCTAAACATCCGCCTGGGCGACCTGCACACGTGAAAGCAAACGTCTCGCTCGAGACATCCTCAACACATTTTCATATTACACATCCGCCTGGGCGACCTTGACACGTGAAAACAAGAGTATCTCCCGAGACTTCCTCAACACATCCTCATGCTACACATCCGCCTGGGCGACGAGGACGCGTGAAACCAAGCGTCTCGCTCGAGACATCCTCAACAAATCCTGGCGCTAGACCTCTGCCTGGGCAACTTGGAGGCCTGAAACCAAGCGTCTCGCTCGAGACATCCTCAAGACCTGGGCACGTCAAAAAACAAACATTTCACTCGAGAGATCCTTTGAATTCTGGTCCCCAGGAGAGGACAAGCTATAACACAAAACAAGCGTTTCGCTTGAGACATCCTCAACAAATTCTAAAAAAACAAGCGTTTCGCTAGGGACATCCTGACATTTTAATTCGCGGGCCCTCTCCCCACTCGTTATTTATCGCAAAACAAATCCGCTGGCCCTGTTCCCGTCAAAACCGGGGGGAAACAAACTAAAAGAGAACCCTGGGCCTGAAGCCCTTTCCACCTTAGTACGATCTACGATTTTGGCCTCTTGCGGCTCTCTCGGGAGGCCTCTTGAAGTGCTCTTGGGGTCTCTTGGGGCCTTCTTGGGCCGTCTTGGAACCATCTTCGGGCGCCTTGGTGCACTCTTGGCCTGGGCAATGCGAACATGGTGTAATTTGCAAGGGTTTACGGCCTCGGGGACGCGACTATTTCATAATTTACGGGGGTTTGTTGCTTCGATGGCGCAATAATTATGTGATTAGCAAAAGGTTTACGGCTTCGGGGACGCGAACATCGTGTAAATTATGTGTTCGGGGAGGCGTCTATTGCGTACTTTACCAGGGCTTGTTGCCTCCAGTACGCAACAAGTGGCGTAGTTTACATGGGTTTGTGGCCTTGGGGACGCGACTATCGGGTAATTTACTTAGGATTGTGGCTTCGGGGGCGCGAGTCTCATGTATTTTACGTGTCCCACGTCCCCCAACAAATTCTGAGAACCTTCTTGGGGGGTGGTAAATTGTTCGTTTGGGGCTACCCCCCTTCGCGCGGACCTCAACAATTTACAGTCGGAAGCAGAAAGCAGGACTGCAACATGGGAGACTTGAAACTGCAAGCTGGTGCAAGGAGCGGCAAGTCTAATCCTCGCAGCCCGATGGCCCAGCAAAGGGGGCCGGCGGACCGAGACGCGAAGATCCAGGGGGATTCTTTTGGGGGTCTGGGTTTTGGGACGCTTGTGGGCCTCCGACCGCCTCCAGAGGCTTCCCTGCGAGCTCCAGGACCGCGGGAACCCGGGGGAGACGTCCAGAGGCGCTGACAGCCGGCGCCTCGGGCGAGAGCGTACCATAGGCGTGCGCGGTCTGGGCCTCGTGGGGGCAGCCGCCAGGGCCCAGCAGCGGCCCAGGATGAATCAAGCGATCGCCAACATGGATCAAAGCGGGGGTTAGCGACGGGTCCCGTTTCCACGGGAAATCGAGGATTTCAGCCGCCGAGGGAGGCGGCATTAGCTGCATTTTGGGGAGGGCACCTTTGAGCGTCCATGGATTTGGCGACCGCGCGCCAAATCCATGGATCGCTGATCCATGTTTGAGTGCCCTCGAGCATGCCAGAGGCATGCGCGGTCTGGGCCTCGCGGGGGCCGCCGCCAGGGCCCAGCAGCGGCCCAGGATGAAGAGCGGGTTTTTGGGATATCGAGGGGATATCGGAGACTTGGGGACGTGGCAGACTTCGCGCGCATTCCTCATCCCCTCTCCTCCCTCCTTCCCGTTCCCTTCCCTCCCCTTCCTTTCAGTCTCTCTCTCCTCTCTCTCTCTCTCTGTGTGTCTCTCTCTCTCTCTCTCTTTTTTCTATCTCTCTTTCTCTCTCTCTGTCTCCCCTCCTATTCAACGACCTCGCTGGTAGCGCTGAGCCGTCCTGGAGCAAAGCCTCCGTTCCCTGTCCTCCTTCCTACTCCCTTCTTCCTTCTCCCCCTCCCTCCACCTCCCCCATCCTCCCTCCCTCTCTTCCCTTCCTCCCTCCCTCCTTCCTCCCTCCCGCCCTTCCTCCATCCTCTTCCAGGAGGGGGACATGACGGACTCTGGCTACCCCAACCGCGTTCGGATGTGGAAGCGGGGTACCCCACTGGAAGACGCGCCTGTGGTCTTCGAGGGTTCCACGACGGACGTGCTGACGTACTCGAAGCGGTACCACGACCGCGGCGTATGGCACGAGATGAGGACGCGCGCGGTGACCTTCTATCGAAGACGCCTACGGCGAATCACCGCCGCCCCCTGCCTTTTTGGAAGCACCTATGTGGCCGAACGTTGAGGCCAGAGCTGCCAAGCGATCGGACCATGTGTTCCCCGAATCGGTTTGGAAAGCCTTCGGGGAACATGTGGGCATCTTGAAGGTCATCTTGGCCGCCTGGAGGCCATTTTGACCGTTTCGGGTCTTCTTGGAGGACGTCTTGGAGGGCTCGTTGGCCGTCTTGGAGGCTTCTTGGGCCGTCTTGGGGACCTCTTGGGGCTGTCTTGGGCCTCTTGGGCGATCTTTGGGGGCACTTGGGCCGTCTCGGGCCGTCGGAAGGCAGACAAAACGCAAATGCCACAATCCTTCAAAAACCAATGGGAAATAAATGATTGTGGCCTTTTCGGGCCTTCCTGGAGACCCTCTTGGAGGCCTCTTGGGCCGTCTTGGGCCATCTTAGGGCCATGTTCGGCCGTCTTGGTGGGCTCCTGGTCCGTCTGACGCCGTCGGAAGCCGTTTGGGGGGCCTCTATGGGCCGACTTGGGGCCCTCTTGGAATGCTCCAGGGCCGTCTTGGAGACCATCTTGATCGTCTTAAAGGCCTCCTGTGCCGTCTTGGGGGCCTCTTGGGGCCGTCTTGGGGCCCTCGTGGGCCGTTCTGGGGCCATCTTGCAGGCCTCTTGGGCGATCTTTCGGCGATTTTCGGGGGCTCTTGGGCCGTCTCGGGCCGTCGGAAGGCCGAAATTAGCCTGGCGAAGGACCCAACCATATGCAGTTGTGAGTACCGCAATTGTGAATCTCTTCTTCGGTGGCGCTCCCTATGGGGCCACGAGCCGTATGGAGGTGTGCCGAATTGTGTGGCGTAGCCTCTGCAGGGGGGCTTCCTTGGGAACCCCGACGGCAGCGCCCGCGCGCCGCGACGCCCATGTCGGCACACCCCACACGAGGATTGCGCCCGCTTCCTCCCCTCCTTGTTCTATTTCCTTTGCTCGCGCACTCCAAAGTCCAAGGCTGCGGGCGTAGCACAGGGCGGAGCCCCCGCGACGCGCGCAGGTCGCCCCGAAGGGGTCGCAGTGACGCGCGCGGTTCGCCCGTTGTGCGGTTCAGAAAGTGATTGCCGGCTGACTCAGAGCGCGCATGGCTCTGGCCGCCGGGCGGAGCGACGACGGGCGAGCGAGGCGCTGGACAGAGCGCAGCGCGGAGTTCGGGGGACGCGCGCTGATCGCCCCGAGAGGGTCCCAGCGACTCGCGCCGGGCGTCCGCGGCGCGAAGCTAAACAGGTGGACAGCCGAGAGAAGAAACGGCTGTGGCGGGCCGCTCCTCAGGTCAGGCCTCGCGGAGAAACTCGGTGAAACCGAGCTCCCTGGCGAGGGCCGTGGCCTCCCTCCTGCACCGCTTCGTGCGCGGCGCAAACTGCTCCAGCTGCTTCCGCCGACTTGGATGTGCGTGACGCATGCGGGCGGCAGCACTGGGGCCTTCGGTGGAGCTCCCGATGGGGCCACGAAACGTGTGAGGGGTGTGCCGACTTGGGTGTAGGGGACGCATGCGGGCGGCAGCACTGGGGCCTTCGGGGGAGCTCCCTATGGGGCCACGACACGTGTGAGGGATGTGCCGAATTGGGTGTAGGGGACGCATGCGGGCGGCGGCACTGAGGCCTTCGTTGGAGCTCCCTATGGGGCCACGAAGCGCGTGAGGGGTGTGCCGAAATGGGTGTAGGGGACGGGGCCACGAAACCTGTGATGGGGTATACCGATTTGGGTGTAGGGGACGCATGCGGGCGGCAGCATTGGGGCCTTCGTTGGAGCTCCCTGTGAGGCCACGGCGCGTGTGAGGGGTGTGCCGAAAGTTGTGTAGGGGACGCATGCGGGCGGCAGTACTGAGGCCTTCGGTGGAGCTCCCTATGGGGCCACGAAGCGTGTGAGGGGTGTGCCGATATGGGTGGCGGGGACGCATGCGGACTGTGCCACTGGGACCTTCGGCGGTGCTCCTATGGGGCCACGAAACGTGTGAGGGGTGTGCCGAAATGGGTGGCGGGGACGCATGCGGACTGCGCCACTGGGACCTTCGGCGGAGCTCCTATGGGGCCACGAAGCGTGTGAAGGGTGTGCCGAAATGGGTGATGGCGATGACGATGATGATGATGATGATGATGATGATGATGATGATGGTGATGATGATGATGATGATGATGATGATGATGATGGTGGGTGTGATGATGACGTCGATGATGTCGATGATGATCATGGTGATGACGATGACGATGACGATGATGATGATGATGATGATGATGATGATGATGATGATGATGAAAATGAAGATGATGATGATGATGATGATGATGATGATGATGGTGATGGTGATGATGATGATGGTGATGATGATGATGATGATGATGATGATGATGATGATGATGATGATGATGATGATGATGATGATGATGATGATGATGATGATGATGATGATGATGATGATGATGATGATGATGATGATGATGATGATGATGATGATGATGATGATGATGATGATGATGATGATGATGATGATGATGATGATGATGATGATGATGATGATGATGATGATGATGATGATGATGATGATGATGGGAGGGGGGAGGAGGAGGATGAGGGAAGAGGAACAAGAGGAACGCGGGGCACCGTCTCTTCAAACGAGGACCCAACACCACAGGATGGTTGGGAAATAAGGAAATGTCAACCTCCTTAGAACACCTTAGGAACATCAAGGTTTTTGGCCTCTTCTGGCCTTCCTGGAGGCCCTCTTGGGGGCCTCTTGGGCCGTCTTGGGCCAGCTTCGAGCCAACTTCGGCCATCTTGGTGGGTTCCTGCCAGGTCTGACGCTGTCGGGAGCCGTCTTGGGGGCTTTTCTGGGCCGACTGGGGGCCCTCTTGGGGCGCTTCGGGGCCGTCTTGGAGGCCATCTTGAGCGTCTTGGAGGCCATCTTGGGCGTGCTAAAGGCCTCTAGGGCCATCTTGGGGCCGTCTTGGGGCCGTCTTGGAGGCCACTTGGGCCGTCGTGGGGCCCTCTTGGGGGCCTCTTCGGCGATCTTGGGGGCCTCTTGGGCCGTCTTGAACCGTAGGAATGCCGAGAAGAAGCAAATTCCAACATCCTTCAAAAACCTAAGATAAATCAATGATTTTGGCCTCTTCGGGCCCTCCTGGAGGACCTCTGGGGGGCCTCTTGGGCCGTCTTGGGCCGTCTTGGACTCTCTTGGGCCGTCTTGGAGGCTGTCTTGGACCATCTTGGGCGGAGTTGGAGGCTTGGCCATCTTGGACGCCATCTTCAGCCGTCTTGGAGGATTTTTTGTGGACGTTGGGGTCCTGGGCAATCCTCCCGGGACCCCGGCGGGACGGGCCGAAGCGCCAGGGGGAGTTCTTTTGGAAAAAGAACCAAAACCAAAACCGAAAGGATCCAGCACGCCAGGCACCCCTGCGATGAATCGACAGGGGGCGGCGGGTCGAAGACGCCTACGGCGAATCACCGCCGCCCCCTGCCTTTTTGGAAGCGCCTATGTGGTCGAACGTTGAGGTCAGACCTGCCAAGCTATCGGACCATGTGTTCCCCGAATCGGTTTGGAAAGCCTTCGGGGAACACGTGGGCATCTTGAAGGTCATCTTGGCCGTTTGGAGGCCATTTTGACCCTTTCGGGCCTTTTTGGAGGACGTCTTTGGAGGGCTCTTGGACCGTCTTGGAGGCCATCTTGAGCGTCTTGGAGACCTCTTGTGCCGTCTTGGGGGCCTCTTGGGGCCCTGTCTTGGGCCTCTTGGGCGATCTTTGGGGGCACTTGGGCCGTCTCGGGCCGTCGGAAGGCAGAACAAAAAGCAAATGCCACAATCCTTTAAAAACCCATGGGAAATAAATGATTGTGGCCTTTTCGGGCCTTCCTGGGGGCCCTCTTGGAGGCCTCTTGGGCCGTCTTGGGCCATCTTAGGGCCATGTTCGGCCGTCTTGGTGGGCTCCTGGTCCGTCTGACGCCGTCGGAAGCCGTTTGGGGGGCCTCAATGGGCCGACTTGGGGCCCTCTTGGACTGCTCCAGGGCCGTCCTGGAGGCCATCTTGGGCGACTTAAAGGCCTCCTGTGCCGTCTTGGGGGCCTCTTGGGGCCCTCGCCGGGGAGATGGGCATCGAGCTACGAATGCCCAGGTTCACCGAGCCGAACCATCCTGGATTTAACGGGGGGATCGCTGGTCTGCTCGTGAACGCCGTGCACAAGCCCAATTCTGCTGTGCAGGGGGAGGAGCTATGCTCCCTGACGAGCTATGCAGGGCTTTCCGGGAAAAAGTGGTGTCGGGCAACGTGCCGTGGGTTCCTGGTCTCCACTATGATGGCGGAATCCGTTATACCTCCCCGTTCTCTTGGACCATGAGTGGCAGCCACCCGAAAACGCAGTGCAGGTGAAAGTGTTTTTGGCCATCGTGACTGCCCAAGGACGGATGAACGAGCCAATTGTTACTTCCGTATGCCGAGACCGTATATGACCTCCGACCAACATTCTATGCTTGTTGGTGGGCTCAAGATGCCACGGATAGAGGCTCTGGCGCGAGGTCGCGACAAGGTGCACTTGAGGACGCCTTCAAGTACCTGTCGAAGCAGAAGCACGAGGACTACAAGTTGAGTGGCGAGATCAGCGTCAGCGTATCCGGATGTGAATGCAGGCCTTGGTATCAACATTTCCCGTGATGACTTCGTGGCGTCATTTCCGCTATGTATCGCTCGATTCCATGCCGGGTCCCATGATCCTGGAAATTGACTCGGTGGACGTCGCAAGTGAGAAGGAGCATGATCTGCCGGCGGGCCACATGCTGTGCCGCAGTTGCCGGGATATGTAGGGAGATGACCGCCTGTCGTGGAAAGTCATTCGATGACCTGATGGACCGCGTCCGGCAGTGCCCGTCAACGGTGAACCTCATCGGGAGAACGATCTTGGGGCTCATCGACCAGAGCTGTCGAATGATACCTTCCCGCATTTCTCCGAAGCTGGTGTGAATGAGCGTGAAGGCAGGCCGTATTTTGGGTGGGTGGACAGTGCCGCGCATTCGAAGTGTCTGCGGGTGAAAGACTACATCCCATCGGACCCAGCTTGGAGGGGGCAGCTGAGGATTCCCGCGAAGTTTGAGAATGGTTTCCTCGACGTATCACGTTCGCCACCGGCTGGGGTGCAATGGGGGGCAGGTTTCAGCGGCGTCCAGCACCGACCGGGACTTGACGCAGCGGCTATGCCGCCTGCGGCCCACCGAGGGGGCCGCCGATGCCGTGGCTGGCAGTGGGGCCGTGCCTACCGCGACTCTGTTGCCGAAGGGGCCGCCGCCGATGGTTTCGGGGAAGCTGTCGAGGCGCGAGGCTCCGCCTCCGCCTCCGGCAGGGCCGCCCGAGCCGCCAGCGGCTCTGCCGCCCCCGGCTGGGCCGCCACCGGCGCCCGCGGGTCCGCCGCCCCCGGCAGGACAGCCGCCGGCGCCCGCAGGTCCGCCGCCCGTGGCGGGGCCACTGCCGACGGCAACGCCTCCGCCGCCATGGGCAGCGCTATCGCCAGCGACGACGCCTCCGCCGCCGCTGGCAGGGCCGCCGCCGGCGGGAACGTCCTTGCCGCCACCGGCTGGGCCAGCTCCGATGGCGACGTCCCCGCCGCCGCCCGCTGGGCCGCCGGCGGCGGCGGCGCCTCCTCCGCCCGCGCATGCGCCGCCATCGCAGACGCAGGCCTCTCCTGCTGGCCCTCCGCCGAAGCGCCCGTTGCCCGAGGCGGCCGGCCGCGCCGAGGCGCCGAGAGATGCTGGGCCCAATGGATTGAATGCAGGTGTTTCATCGTTGAGCACAGGAGAGACAAGGGGGCACATGACCCTCGTGGGCCCGATAGGGCTACAACTGGCTATGCCAGTGGGGCCGGGGCGCCGCCCGCGCCGCCCGCTGCCGCTGACCGAAGGGCCATGGTCCGACCATATGCTGGCGTGAACGGCGTCTGGGAGGCAGCGCAGCAGAGTGCTCATATACAGGCGAGGGGGGGGCGGCCGACTCATTCTTGCAGCGCGTGCTGACGGCGGGCGTTGAACCGTCCGATGACTACGTCGAGCTTGCTAAGGGATTGACGATCAGGATGGCAGGGCTGGGCAACGAGTTGGTAGTTCCTAGCGTCCGCAATTGGACGTTCGCCCAGACATGAGCCGCCTACTCGCGACTCATCGAGATGAGCGGCATCCACGACGGGTTCGCTGGTCAGAACATTTTTGCATTTGCAAGGAGGAAGTTGCCCATCAACGACTGGTTTTGCGCAGCTAAGGGTCGCAAGTGGAAGACCAAGTTCGCGTGCCCCTACGTAGGCGTCACGCTGCTGTCTGATTCCACGGAGTCACGAAACAGCTGGAGTCAAAGCCAGAGGGAGCGAATACCCTCCTGCGCATGTGCATTGGTGACCAGGTTGCAGGATGGTATGCGTCTTGCCAGGGCGGCATCACCTTGCCAGACATCCCGCTAGAGTCAGGACATTGTCCAGAGTCGTTCTGGGCACCGATGTCGCGTCGCCCCGTGGAGCGGCAACGGCCTTGGCGTCGACAGGGATGACGCGCGCCTGCGAGGGGCGGCACCTGGAGCTGACATGCAGCAGCACTTCGAATTGGAGGCTGAGGTGTTAGAGCAGGTGAAGCAGCTGGGCGACATGCAGGCCAGGTGCGCACAAAAGGACCACACCTACATGGTGGTCCCGGGGCTGGGTGATGTCCAGTCTTGGGGGGTCGCAGCTACTGCCGGAGAACATGTCGCCTGGGGCGCTCTCGCGAGCCGGGCCGCAGCCTGTGCAAACAATCGCGTCGTTTACTGGGAAGAGGCGGGTATTTCGTGTCGGATGCCGTGGGTCCGCGTATCAGAGCTGCGCGAGAAGGGCGAACGTGCGGATGGCGACCCACGGGACTTAAAGGTGGTTCCTGGCGAGTCGTCTGTAAAAGAGTTGGCCAGATGCATCTCCGCCGCCTGGAAGGTCTGCTTTGAGGTGAATGCCAGTCCCGGGGAAAATGCGAGAGGAGGCCATGCCCGTACTCGTGCTGGCCAGGCAGCCGGGCTCCGGCCCATGGGCCCGCCCAGGGTTGAGTGCTTCCTGAACCGGGCGCCTTGCGTGATGGATGGATTTCTGGCGCTAGCGAACATCGATTTCGATGCTTTTTTGCCGTTCAGCCTCCAGGACTCCCCTGCGCTGCCCGCGCTCTGAGGCATCAGCGTGGACTCGAAGAGATTTGCGGACTGAGTCAAGGAAGCGGGTGCTGCTGCAAGGACGCCGTGGGGGGACGTGCCAATGTGCGCCCTGCCATGCGACCCGTGCTCCATGCCCCCGCAGTGTTTTCCAGCCTCAACGTCGAACGCGTCGCGCCCAGGCCAGGCGCTAGGATGACTCAATGTCTCGAGGTGTTGCGGCAAAGGGGCAAGATAATCGCTATCGGCCCTGGGGGGGGCCGCGTTGACGAGGCGACCGCTGGCTATGCCAGCGGCGCCCCTCCAGGACATTGAATGTGAGCCTGGTTGACGACTGGAAGAAGATAAGGACTCACTACTCTCGTCCACTGAGCGCCGCATCGTGGACGGGGCCCTGGAGGTCAACCCGGTGTGCGACATCGATGACATAATTTTCGTGTGCCCCCGCGCTGTCGAGGCCAGTCAAGCGCATCAGAGACCGATTATAATCGGGCCAGGCGCAGTCGCTAGTGGGCTGATGGGAAGGGCGGTGAGTCATGACAGTCCCTTCGAGTACAAGATGTTGCTGTCCCGCGTTCCGTCGATCCCGAAGCCGTTGAACAGGAAGCTAATGCCGGACGGCCTCTCGTAAAAGGGACAGCGGCATGCATGCCCACTCCAATGCTTGGCTCGCGGCGGCTTCTCGCCATGCGCTTTTTCTCGAGCCCGCCGAGAGTTATCTCGGGCTCTGCGTTATCAAATGGCTGTTCGCCAGGCGCATGTGCGCGGCTGACGAGGTGCAAGGGGCGCTATGCGAAATTTTCGAGTTGGGAAAACGACGTTTGATGTTCAACCTGAGCACGTCGTGCTCACCCATCGTATCGACTTGCCAGCTGACTATGTGCGCTCGGGCTAGAAGTTCTACTCGCGCGCCGTCGATATCAACAGGCTCGGCGCCGTCTTTGACACTGGCGTGTTCGTCGCCTCCAAGGTAAGTGACGGTGGGCGGACAAAGAACTACGGGGGCACTGAGACACCTGCCGCATGCGTATATGCCTTCGAAGACTCTTCTAGAGTACCGTGGCAGCACGCCGTCTTCTCCAACGCAGCGGAGCTCTTTGGCGACGGACTGCCCGTCACGTGCGACTTCCAGATTCTGGCCCCGCCTTCGTTATTGCGGGGCTCAGAGGCAGTGGGCACAGAGAAGAACAAGCAATACTTTTGCCCTCGTCCTCATAACTTGGTCAGAACTGCCCTCCGACTCTACTTCGCCGCGCCGTCGCAGACACGCGCCATGGGGCTGTGGTTCCACCGCCCCGAGGTTTCTGCCGATGACAACTTCGAGCTCGACTTCGCAGCCATTGTAGATGCGCGCCCCCAATGTCCCATTGAGGAGGCTGGGGGGGGGGGGGGGGGACTGGGCGTGCATGGCGCAGCGAGGTCAAGGTTCCTCTCTGGCAGACCAAATACGCGGCGCAGGAGAAAGTCCGCGCAGCGTGGCGACCGCCGAGCGTATCGCGCGGCGCGCGCAGATTGAGGATATCCGCGACAGCACGGGGTTGCTCGTCAAGCGCCTTCGTGTTTTTGCTTGTGACCACGGAGTTCTTCGGACTGGGGAGAAGTATTGGGGGGGGGGGGGGGCTGGGGGCGGACCAGTACTATGAACAGTATTCTGTCCTTTCCGTCGTGGAGAAGCTTGTCGCGCGCCGCAAGAGATCGCGGATCGACCTGGATGTTCTCGCCCTGGCGAAGGTGAAAACTGATGGTAGATGGTTAATAGCTCAGTGGACGACCTCAGGAGGCATGGAGCTAACAAGCCACGGTCTGCTGAGGAAGATGGCGAGGGCATAGGGCAAAGGACAGAGGCGTCCAACGACCATGTCGAGGGCGCCTCCGACGATGAGCGCCCGCCCCGGCCCGCAGTGGGCAAAGCATGTCTGGAACATCGCGCAGAGATGAGCGCGGAGGGCATTCGCGCTGAGACTGGCATTCGGTGCGTCCCGCCGGCAAGGGGCAATGCGCTGGCGGTCGAACTGGAGGCACTTGGGAATAGCGCGCTTTCAGAAAGGGTTTTCAATGCAGATGCTAGGCTTCGTTTCCCCTCCAGGGAGCTCTGCCCGTCCGCTCCCCCAGATTCGCAGCCGCATGATCCGCGAGATGGGGCGCCATCTCATCTGCCCCCGCCGATGGATGAAACCATTGACGAGAGAGCGCGTCATATAGGTCGACAAGGCTGTGGCCCGACTGGAGCAATGATGCCTGTGTCTCCGACTCGGATGCTACTGCGAGACGTGCGAGAAGATGAGCCCAGGGTCGATGCTGAAGCCGGTGGGCTCGTGCGATTTTTTGCGAGCCGTCCAACGCGGCATTGCGCGTTGACCTGTGTGCGCCGCATCAGCATGCGTACTGACACTGGGCCATCTTATCGACGCAGCGCTCCTGCCAAGGTCCTGCAACACGAGAAGATGCTCCTCGAGCTATGGTGCCTATCTGAGATATTCGAGGGGGCGGCGGAGCGGAGCGAAGAAGCTGACAGCCCGTCGGTAACTTCAACGGACTCGGACCTGATTTGGGACGAAAGCGGCCGGCCGTCCGCCGCGAGCACGGAGGAGTGGGCCCGCGGCTATGCCGCGGCTTCCCCGCCTGTCCCATTGCCTTCCGAATCCGCGGAGTTTGCTGATCCGGTGCTGGAGGTCGGGCCCAGATGTCGCTCGCGGCTCTGGGGGGCGAGGGTGGCAAGAGGTCGGATGGAGCTGGAGATGATCGGGGAGGTGATGAGGAGCGCCAAGCGGAGGAGACACCTGAACGGAAACCTGGGCTATTTGCCCCTGATGTAATTTCCAATGGGCTTATTGGCGCATGCATGTCGGAGTACTTCTGCCTTGGATGGCCCCCGACGCCGCCAAAGCGGGGGCGCATCTCGATGTGTGAGTTCAAGAAGAGAAGAATGGAGACGGGGGGCGCGGCCCATCGCGGGCTTGAGCACGCGGAGAAGCGGAGGCGGACGAGGACGGCGCCCCGTTCATCGAGGATGACGTCGCAGGATTGCAGGCCGTCGATATCGAGCTGGCCCAGAAGCTGGAGGAGCATCGTGGCTCCAGCCCCGTGTCCTCCGAAGACAGAGAAAAGCGGGGCGGTGGTTTCCAGAGAAGAACGCTGGAGTGGTCTCGTGATTTAGTGGGTGATGCGCTACTGGAGTTCCTGCGCCGCCTGCCCCCCCAGGACGGGGCGAATGCGCGTCGGTTTCTGCGCGCCCGCCACGGCGCGGTTGAGCCCCGCTGTCTCCCGATGCCCGAGATTCGTCTCGCCCCCGTGACCATCGCCGGTGGCCTGCGCTCGCATGCGTGGTATTCTGACATTGATGTGGAAGAAGCTGGGCGCATTGTTCGCATATGGTTCACCTGGCGATGCATGGCTCAGCCCGCGTCCGCAGTTATGGAGGATGGGTCGAGGCAGCCGTCGTCGTCTAGATGCTGGGCGACGCGGGCAATGACAGGTCGTGGGCACGCTTCATGCATGCTCTCGCTCAACTGCCACGCCGTACTCTCCATATACTTGGCGTGAACATGACGAACGCCGAAGAGGGTCCTGCGGCTGAGCCAGAATACTGGGGCGAAATCTTCGGGCGCGAACCGCCTGCCGACGATTCTGTTGCCCGGAACGCGGCCATGGTGGAGCCAATGACGAGAGTGCCCCTGCTGTTCCGCGCTTGCAAGGGCCACTCTGTCCGAGTATGATGCGGCAGCGAGGCACTCCCAACAGGCAAGTGTCATTCCATTGGACGATGCCTCGGTGCGAAGGTCTATGACTGGGCATGTTGTGCTGCCGCGAAGGGACCTCCAGGGCGTGCGCCAGTGCCGTTTCCTGCCCTGCCTGCCGACTATGCATGGGCCGTGCCCCACTCCTGAAGGTGCGACTGTAAGAGAACATGGGCCGGGGTCGCGTGGGGCAGTCGAGCTGGCACGTAGAGCACAGGAGGGCCACTGCGGGGAAATGCACGGGCAGCTGCCGACGTGGTTTGGACCTGGAGGCTGGGCCGCGCTGTAGCCGGCCAAGCATTGGCTGCCAGTGTGTTTGATCTGGAAGATCACCCACCTCTCGGAGTCCCATGTGTTCACTTTTGGGCCCCGCGTCTTCGAGAATCAGGACATCTGGATTCAACTCGACGGCTCCCTGGCGACCGCGTTCCGGCCCAAATGGAGGGGCATTCGTCAGATCCTGCGTCTTACCGTGTTTGGGATGCAGCGGATTCAGATCCCGTGGATTATGGTCTATGACCGAAGGTGTGCTGCGCTCAGAGTCTTCTCTGATGTCGACGCAGCGTATATAGACTTGATCAAGCGGCATCCAGTTCTCGTTCGGGTACCTCGACGTGGTTTGGCTTATTATAGACTTCCGAGATATCGGTCTGGACAATCGGGGGGGTCCAGGGGGCTATTCCCCCACCCCTGCGGCGCAGAGTGCAGGGGGGGAATGGGCGGGCTATGGTGCCGACCGTGTGCACGTGCGTGCACATGGCAGATGGAAAGACGCCGGTGAAGATGGCATCGGCGCCCGTGGAGAGAACGGCTTGCAAGGCAAGGCCGCGCTGCACAGCAACATCATGACGGTCATTGCCTGGCAGCCAATGGCTTCAGATGACGAGCTGCCCGAACAACAGAAACCCTACGAGCAGGAGCGGGCGAATAAGCTGGGTCACAGGTGGATCGAGTTCCAGAACGTGCATCTCAAGATGCCCGCTGCTGTCCGTCTTTCTGTTGCTCTTCCATGGATATGGTAACCGTGCGTCTGGGAGCGGCTATGCCGTTCTAGAACCATTTGGCTGACTGGGGCTAGATCCCCCGGGGGGCCCCCGTCGAAAGGCCCGGCGTGGGATGGTCCGCGTGGTGCAGAGAGTCCCCGCGGAGCGCTGGAGTCCAGCTGCCCAGTCAAGTGAGCTGCCATGGAACGGGGCATAGAGGATCATGGGCCGCCAGTGGAATTCCTGGGAGCTCCACGGCCGACGGCGCGTGGAGCAAGGGCTCCAGCACCACCTGACTATGTGGATAGGCGCCTCCCATCGAGCGCAGTCTGCCAAAGGAGAGAGGATGCCTGACTCTATGAGGCCTAGTGGCCGTCCAACTGTGGCGAGAACATGGGGCGACGCCACGGGCAAGGGCCAGGTGCCCGAGAGTGACGGCAAGGGAGCTAAGAGGCGAAGCAGTCGCGCGCCCGATGATCGACAGGTGTCCAGGCGGCGCCGAGCTGACAGCCCGACCCGCTGGGACTCGTAGTCGCGCTCGGGAGCCGCCTCTTGGAGCTCCGCCATGGCGCCGGCTGCGCGCGGACGTCGCTCCGCCTCGGCGTGGCGCAGCCGACGCGTCGCGGCGCCGCGTGGGCTTCGCCCCGCCATGGCACGGGCGCGCCGACAACGGGCGGCAGCATGCGGGTCCATTCCCCCATGGCGCGAGAACGCCGACAACTGGTGGTCGTATTGCAGCAGCTTGGGCCGCGGTGACCGCAGTTGGGGTTGAGTGGAAGAGAACAAGGGGCACTTGCAGCAATGCTGCCTGTGCCCCTTGAACGCAACTGTGCTATGCACTGGGCGTCCCAGGGCGCTGTGGGCCGGGTGGCGGGTGCGCTGCCTGCCAGGCGCGGCGCGACGGGCTGCTTTATATGCAAATTTGGCGCGTTGACAAGTCGTTGACGTCCACCCGTGCGATTGGAGCTCGCCGGGGAGGCCGCGGGGGGAGTTGATTTCGTCGCACCCCTGCCCTGCCTCAGCATCATCTGCTAACATTTACCGAAGCTGTGTTGGCTTCGGTCGCAGAAGAGGGCCGCTCCACCCGCCGCGCGCGCTTGGCTGGCCGGGCAGCCTCCCCCTCCCCCCCCCCCCTTCTGATCTTAACCATAGCTTAACGGCACAACGCCATACTAAGCTTTGGCTACAAGGAGTGCCTGTCCTTGGATCTGGGCGTGAAGCTATTGCAAGAAGAAGATCACCATGAAGGACAAGTACACTCTTTGCCGTTTAATCGGGCTGCGAAAGCTCCCCTCTCGACAGAGAACTGGCAAAACACTCGTTAGGAATCCTTGGAACAACGATGACTCTACAGGCTTACGCCACATCCGCCGACCCCTTCTGTGAGTGTTGCGAGGCCAGGAGTTTCTGGCCAGCGGCGTCTTGTGTGAGGGTGCGATGTCGCGCGCGGGTGGTGGCAGATACGTAGGGGTCCAAATGTTTGCGTGATGCCGGTGGTCTGGGGCGTGTTTTGCGAGCGCTTTGCGTGCTGTGCACCCGGGTGCGGGGTGTCCTTCTCTGGGAGGTCGGCCTTTCGACCCGCAACCAAGTGGAGGAGCACTGGAAGACGAAAGGAGCAAGAGTAGTGTGTGGAAGCTGTGATCAGCGAAGCATCACAGGGACAGATGTCACAGATGAATCGAAACGGGTGAAGAGGCTGTTGACGTTCGCAGCGCGCACGAAACAGTTCGCGCGGCAGCAGCACATTAGCGCCGAGCAAGATATTGGGCTACCTTGGGGCTGTATTGGAGGCCTCCAGGGCCGTCTGGGAGCGTCGGAAAGCTGAAAAGGCAAATTTGTGGAAAAAAGTACGTTTCACGAAGGGAACGGGCCAATTTTTGCGCCGAGGGGCCCTCCTGGGACGCATCTTGGAGGCCTCTTGGGGCCTCTTGGGGCCGTCCGGGGCCGTCTGGAGGCGATCGTCGGTGTCTTTGATCGCTCTTCGACCGTCTGTGACCATATTGAGCTCTCTTGGAGGCAACTTGAAGCGCTCCTGGAGCGCTCTTGGGGCCGTCTTCGGGGCCCTCTTGGGCAATCTTGGGCGCCTCTTGGGCTGTCTTGGGGCTCTGTTGGGCTGCCTTAGAGCTTCCCTGGAGGCTGCTTGGACCGTCTTGGGGCGGTATTTAGGGCCTCTTGGGCCGTCTGGGGCCGTCTGGGAGCGTCGGAAAAACCCAAAAAACGAATTCGTGAAAAATGTACGTTTTACGAAGGGACTGGGCCAATTTTTGCGTCTAGGGACCCTCGTGGGACGCATCTTGGAGGCGTCTTGGGGCCTCTTGGGGACCTCTTGGGCCGTCTTGGAGGCTTCTTAGCCCGTCTTTGAGCCATCTTGGGCGTCTTGGAGCGCTCGTTTGGCGTCTCGGAGCTCCCGTGGTCCGTCTTGAACGCCTCTTGGGGCCATCTTGGCCCGTCTTGAGGCTTCCTGGAACCCGGAAAAGTCCCGGCGGCGCTCGTCCCGGGCCCGGCGGCGCTCGTCCCGGGCCCGGGGGGGGGGGCTCGTCCCGGGCCCGGGGGGGGGGGTCAAATCGCCGGTTTGGGGTCCCGGGGGGGGGACTATAGGGGGGGGAACTATCTCACACGCCTAGAGACCCACAAGGGGTCGGCGGATTTTGGCCTCTCGGAGCCCTCTCGGGGCGGCTGTCGGAAGCCTCTTGGAACGTATTGAGTGCTTTTCCGGCCGACTGGGGACAATTTTGGGCGTCTTGGACCAATCGTGCAGCGATTCGGGGCCCTCCTGGACCGCCTTGGGGCCCTCTGGGGCCATCTGCCCTACCCGGGGGAGGCCCGAGGAATTCTTGACGCTTCGCGTATCCCCACCAACCCATCCAGTAACGATGCCCAGGCGAATGGAGGTGATCATGGAAGTGAGGGAGCATACAGAGTAACAAAGGGCTGGGGAACCCGTCTTACCCAAGACGGCGAGGATGGAGGAGGAATCGGAGGAGGATGAGGACGAGGAGGAACTGAAGGAGGAGGAGGGGGAACGGGAGGAGGGAGGAGGCAGGAGGAGCAATAGGCGGATGAGGAGGAGGAGGAGGAGGAGGAGGAGGAGGAGGAGGAGGAGGAGGAGGAGGAGGAGGAGGAGGAGGAGGAGCAGGACGAGAATGAGGAGGAGGATGAGGAGAAGGGCGAGCAGAATGGCCAGAGGCCTCTTGGATGCCTCTCGGAGTCTCTTCGGATGTCTCTTGGGAGCGTCCTGAAGGCCTCTTAGGGCGTCTTGGGAGCGTCTTGGCGGTCCCGGAGGCCTCTTGGGGCGTCTTGGGTGCCTCGGGGAGCCTCTTGGGGACCTCTTGGGGCCAACTTGGGGCCATCTTGGCGCCTCTTGGGGCCTCCTGGGCGCCTCTTGGGGCCATCTTGGAGGCGATCGATCAAAGAAGAGGGTGGGGTTAATTAGCCCTGACCCTCTAGATCCTCTAAAATCGCCTCTTGGGCTCATCTTGAGGCGCTCTTGGAGCGCTCTTGGGCGCTCTTGGGGCCGTCTTGAGGCTCTCTTGGGCCCCTCCTGGGGCTGTCTTGGGCCCTTTTGGAGCCATCTTGAGGCCTTGGACGGCCATCGGAAGCGAAAAGGCGAGAAAGCAAAACACATTGATTTTCCTTAGGTTTTTGAAGGATTTTGGCCTCTTGGAGCCGTCTTGGGGCGGTCTTCGGGCCTATTGGAGCATCTTCGGAGCCACCTTGAGGCATCTGAGGCTAGCTTGAGCAATCTTGGAGCTCATGTTGGGCTCCCCGAGGCGCTCCTGGAGCCATCTTGGGCCATCTTGGACGCTCCAACTACCAGCGAAACCTCCCGTCCAGGTCCAGGGGAGGGGGTAAGGGGAGTGGTAAACCCCTCCCCGAAGGGGAAGAAAGGGGATTGGAAGAGGAAACTCCCTAAACCACCTACGCCCAGAGGGCTGGTGGGATTCCTTGGAAGCCCCGAGACTCCCCGGAAATCCACGGCAATACTTCCAAACCCCCTGGAGTCCTTTTGAAACATGTTCAGTTTATCCGTATGGCTTCGCCCTCAGCCGCCGGCCCCTTCTTTCGGATAAGGGGGTATGCAAAAACTATGTTTGTGAGGCGTTGGTGCCGCCGTGAAGCAGCTCAGAACTCCGAACGGGGGCTACTTGAGAGACCCAGGTGCGTATTGCGTAAGTTACGAAGGAGTATTGTTTCGGAGGCGCGAGTATTGCGTAATTTGCAAGGAATGATGATTTCGGGAGCGCGAACACAGTGCAATGTGTGAGGGTTTATGGCTTCGGAAACACGAGCATGGTGTAATGCACATAAGGGATGATGGCCTCGGTGGCGCGAGTATTGTGGTGTTGCCTAACAGGGCGGTGAAGGTAACCAGGGCTTTTTTTCGGCTCTCCTTCGCGGGAGCAGCACGCTTAATTGTAACATCGGAGACTGGAAGATTGAACTGGATCAGGGGGCAGCAAGCCTAATCCGCGGAGCCCGATGGCCCCGCAAGGGGGCCGGCGGATTTCTCAGGGCTGCATCTCCATTGTGTGCTGACGGCACGGTGGCGGATCTAGTGGCCTTCGGCCCATTCCGCCACACTGCCTGGGTCAGGGGCAAATGGCTTCGTTCTTTTAGGAGGCGAGTTTTGGGGCATCTTGGAGGCCTTGTGGGGATCCTGGTGACCTGCTGACGGTCCACCCATTGCCTCGCAGCGAGGTGGCGGATACTTCAGAATACTGGTGGGAGCGCGGAGGGGAATGGAAGAAACTTGACATTCCGGAGGACATGGAGGTCTCGACCTTCAAGGACACGTTTCTGCTCACCCTCCGAAGCGAGTGGGCTGTGGCCGGGCGCGTCTTCAAGCAGGGCGCCCTCCTGTCCGTCGGCCTGGACGCCTTTTTTGCTGGAGAGCTGTCAACCATCACCGTTCTCTTCGAGCCCTCCGAGTCGGAGTCGCTCCAGAGCCAGTGCGGGACGCTGAACTTCCTGATCGAAGGTGCCTCTGGCGGGTCGCCGCCGTCCCCTGCGCTCCGCGACAGAGGTCGGCGAGGAGGGCGTACTGCACCATGCCAGGGCCCAGGGTGGCCTTGGGCCAGGCACGGTAGGAGTGCATAGATGCTGTCTGCGCGTACCCTTCTGACAACGCCTGCGTGGCCAAACGCCGGGCAATGGCTTGGCGAGCCCGCTGGCCCGTGCAATCGCCCAGGCACTGGGGCTCACCGACTAGACATCCGACGTCGCGCTTTTTCCGTGGCGCGGGTCCCTGGATCTCCAATGTCTTGAAAGAGCAATGACAGATGTCTTCCGCCGTTTTGAACCCATTGGTCTCGCTTCTGGTCCCCAGGGCCGTCAAAAACGATCTCGGACGAGAAGCCTGTATGTCGCGGAAGGTGTCGAGAGGTCCGAGGGTCACCTTATGGAACAATCTGACGTCGGTGGTCTGGGTACGGAGGACGAGGAGGAGGAGGAGGAGGAGGAGGAGGAGGAGGAGGAGGAGGAGGAGGAGGAGGAGGAGTGTGCAGGAATGTGCAGCATGGCGCGGCAGCAGCAGCAGGCGCGCGCAGCCCGTGAAAAAGGGGGAGCTCGGGCAGGGAGGAGGGGGGCTGCGGCCCGGGGGCGAGGCTGGCCTCGAGGTCACCGGCCATGCCTCACCACCCACCAAAGCACCCCAACCCAACCCGAAGGCCCAAATTTATCCTCGATTTCCAGTGGGGGGGGGGTCGGGGAACGTTGAAAAAACACATGGTATCCATACCCCCCCCAACCCGAAATTCGGGTCAAATTCGGGTCTTCGGGTTGGGTTGGGGTGGTCTGGTAGGTAGTCAATGCCATGCTTTTGCCGTGATGGGCGGCGCGGCCACTCCGGATAGCCTTGGTGTCCGGTACGACGTGCGCCCCCCTTCGCCGGGCTGCGGGCCGGCCGCCGGGGGCTGCGGTCGCCGTCATTGGCAGGGTGTGCTCGTGTTCTGTGGCTTTGGAGGCCACCTCGGCCACCTCCAGCTCCCTGGCTAGGGCGAACCTTTCCTCCTCCTTGAGATGCCTACCCTGCCGCAGTCGATTCCTGTGGGCCTGGGCATTCTTGTCTGCAGGCTTGCACCTGCAGACCTCAGCAAATCTTCTGAGAGTCTGAATGGTGTGGCTTCCGCAGTTCTAGCAGAAGATGAGCGGTCCAGTCTTCCAGAGAGCATGGCCTCGGAACAGGTTTCGATTGCCAGTGGAGGAGGAGGAGGAGGAGGAGGAGGAGGAGGAGGAGAAGGAGGAGGAGGAGGAGGACGAGGAGGAGGAGGAGGAGGAGGAGGAGGAGGAGGAGGAGGAGGAGGAGGAGGAGGAGGAGGAGGAGGAGTTCAGGAGGTAGGAGGAGGAGCAGGGACTGGCCCCCTAAGCCTCCACCGTAAGCCCAAGACACTCTTGGAGACGGAATTCTTGACGCTTCGCGTATCCCCACCAGCCAGGCAAGCACCACGCGCCGGAGGGGAAATTCGGCGCCTACCAGTCACCACGAGAGCCACACCTAGTGGCGATAGGCTCGCAGTCCTCCAAGCCGGTGACCCCAGAGCGGGTTAGATGCCCCCTGGGCAGGGCTGGTTTCCATGCCCCAGGACGGACAGGAATCCCAGCGCCCTTTGGACCAGAACTTATTGTAGGCTCTGTGACCAACACACCCTGGTGCTCAGAGCTGGCGAGCTGGCAGAGATATGGACAGTGGCGAGGAAATCACGGTCAGAGACTCCCCGCTCCCCGCCGCCGACTCTGCCCAATGGCCTTACGAGCTCACGTTTGACGGAGGAGCTCGTCGGATCGGAGAAGGAGACAAGGTCTCTGGGGCGGCGGCTGTTCTCTGGCGACATGACCCACGCCGTGGCTACCCGCGCGTCGTGGCGGTCGCTGTGGTGGCCCTCCCAGGCTGTGACAATGCGCAGACTGCCGAGGCCTCGGGGTGCAGAGCCGGTTTCGCCCTGCTCCCACACGTTGAAGGCGCGCTCCGGGGCGCCAGGGTGGTCGGGGACAACCTTGCCGCTATACGATACGGGGCCGGCACAGGCCGCTATCGGCGGCTCCACCTCGCACAACATATGGACTTTGCCCTTAGGCAGGCCAGCGATTCGGGATGGGCCCTCACCTGGCAGGCAGTGCGACGACGGCTCAATAAAGTGGCTGACCGCCTAGCCACGTTAGGGGTCTTTTGGGCCAGCGCCCTCAACCGCGCTGGTGATCATACGGTCACCACCTGGGTTGTGTGGGAAAACACCGATCGCCCCACTCCCCCTCTCTTCCCCGCTGCGGGGATTGACCTCTGCGACTTGGACCAGGTCGCCCAGGCTGCGGACGCTCTCGAAAATCTCCCTCGTCCTCATCTCCCCTGATCGCTCCCGATCCGGCGCACTAAGGTCAATACAGCTTGCAGCCTTCAGCTGCCTCCCTGGGTTTTATTGGACGCTCCCTGGGTCTTCTCGGCACACGATGGGGCCTAGGAACAATCAAGGTCCCACCCGTCGCTGGCCCTCGTGCCTGCCACACAGTGAGGACGGCCCGCCAGTCAGGCTGGGCTCTCGTGTCTTCCTTGCTCGGTACTGTCCCTGGATGCGTTGGGCCTTCTTCAACGGTGGCTGGCGCTACTGGTGCGAGATCTGCCAGGAGCCGGTGGGCGACACTGAGCACATCCTGAGCGACAAGCACTACGACATGTCGCTGAGGCGCTACAACGACGGGTGGCCGGACCCAAGCACCTTTGTCTCCCCTGGGAACCTGTGGTGCATGTGCGGTGGAACGACCTGGGACGAAGTGCACCGTGTGCGTATCGAGCGGAGGGCCTGGCTAGGCTGGAAGCCCGTGCAACCCTTTGTATCCCACGACGGCGCCCGCTCACTCCCTGGTCTGGTGATTCCGGAAGACGCGCTACACGTGCCCGTCATCTACCCTCTCTGGGACGACGACTGGATGTGCAGTAGCCCGGGAGGCGCGAGAATCGACCCAGACCACGTGAGGTCGCCCCAGATGTGCATCCGCGAGGCTAGACAGGCAGGCGCCCGAGGGCCTGACGGTGGCGGAGGGGCTAATGCGTTGGCAAAGTCCTCCGTCGGGCCACTGCCCGCCGCGCCTGGGCAGCCCCCGGCATCCTCGGGCGCTCCTTTGCCTCCGCCCCCGCCGCCCCATCCTCCGACCGCTTGGGGGCAGCCTAGCCAGCAGCGAGTAGTGAGATTGGCAACCGAAGAAGAGGCATCACAGCCAGGCCCTTCGGATCGGCAGCTGGACGAGTCGCTGGCGGTCCAAGCGGCCGCCGAGGTACGCAGTCTTTACCCTCTGCCCCTGGATTCACCACACTCGCGAGTCAACCCCAAGGCGGCGCTGGGGGATCTGCCCGATGCCGTCCTGCCCCCCTCCCAGCGGCCTTAAACCCTCCGGGATCGTGGGCAGACACTTCGGAGAATCGCTTGGGTAGAGAGCCAAGCGTCGGTCGAGACGGTGGACAACGGGAAAGAGGCCACGCGCGAAGACCTGGCCAGGAAAGGCAACTGTGCCCTCGATGTCCGTGTCACCAAGATCGACGGCGACGCGCCCCTGGACGACCTGGGCACCCTCCAGTTGCCAAACGCGATGGACCTCCCAGAGGGTGGGGAGCTCTACCTGTTGGAGTGGCCCTCCGGGTGCAGGGTTGGATCCAGAACCCAGGAGGGAGACAAGGAAGGCAAGGATCTGTGCATCTCTGTCACCGGCCCCACAGTGGACAAGATTGCGAACGTCACGATCTGGTGGCCACCCTCCCTGGGCGGCGCCATTCACCCAAGGGGCGCAAGAGTGCTCGACATCAACCCGGCCACCAGGTACCCCTCGGACAGGTGCATCGTGCAGTGCAACAGCGAGAAGTGGGGGCCATTCCATGGAGATGAAACCAAGGCGAGACGGCCCCCAAGCGACGACGTTCCCTGGTACAGGGTGGACGAGGCCCCCTCCGACATCCAGCACTGGCGCCAGTGTTGGGCTCTTGACCAGATTTACTACCTCCGGCAGAATGCAGCGGATCTGTTCGCTCGCGCACTGTCCCCCCTGACGTTTCTCCTGGCTTTCTTGCGCGCTCCCCGGGCCGACCAATGCGCGGCCAACGACCTCCATCGTGCCAGCGCAGTCGGCTCGAATCTGCGGGCTAGGGCCGCCGCTGCACTGGAGGTGGACGCCCCCGATGCTGACCTCACCCAGGCTGTCCGGTATGGCCTTCTACAGCAGGTGCCGCCGCTTCCCTAGGGTTTGACGGCGTTCTCGGACGACGAACTCTCAGACTCGACGGGGTCAGTATTCCAGAGGGTGCGCACCACGTCTAGCCAGGCGACCTATAACGAAAGGGTGGACAAGCACAAGCCAAACAACGACGCGATCAGAGCCCTTCAGGCCGCGCTACGTCACCATGCCGTACTGGTGCACGGACCCCCTGGGACAGGCAAGACCACCTTCTCCGTCGCCTGCCTGGACATGTGGGAATGCTGCCTACGTTCGGGCCAAGCAGTTGCGCTGGCAGCCGGTTCGAACACTGCGGTCGACCCGCCCGCCCTGGCAATGTCCGAAGCACAGCGACGGCGCCGTCTCGATCCCGACGCGGGGTTCCCTGGGAGATTCATGCGCCTGGCCAGAAAGGAACGCGTCAACGATGAGCTTGTTGACCTGACCCCAGAGGGCCACTACAAGAACGCCTACGGTGACGTCCCGTTTCAGGATGGGGACAAGAGCCCTGACTTCAAGCCCTTCAAGGCCAACCTGCTCCGGGATGCCAGGGTGATCATGTCCACGCACGAGGCAGCCGAAGCCCTCGGACAGAAGGACATCCCGCACATTGCCCTCCTGGTGATCGACGAGGCCGGACAGGCCACGGAGCTGCATGCGCTTATGTCTATGGTGAACGTGATCAACAGTGGCGGAGTCCTGCTACTGGTGGGCGACCCGAACCAGTTGCCCCCTACAGTTCTCTCAAAGCTTGCCAACGACCTGGGTTTCTGTGTCAGCATATTTGACAGGATGTTTCACGCCCTCCGCGGCCAGGACACGGCGGTGGTCCACCTGTCGATTTGCTTCCGCATGCGTCCGCAGCTGCTCGCCTTTCCGAACGCAGCCTATTATGGCAAGGGTATGACGAGCGGCATCATGGACCCGATCAGAGACAGGCCCACAGTTGACGGCATCCCATGGAGAGACATCTCACCCTGGGAACCTGGGCGCCTGGCGGAACTCGCCAAGCTCGCCAGTTCCAACGAGGCCGACCTCAGCGCGACCCTCAGGCAGTTGGAACCTCCGCAAGACGGCGACAAGCACCGCTTCCTGCTAGTCGACGCACCCTCGTGGGAGGTTTCGTCCGGCCTCCAGCCAGGCTACGCCGACCTCCCCGAGGCGGCGCAGGCTGTGGACATCGTGCGGGCACTCCTCCCTGAGCTTGAAAGAGGCACCACCGTCCGAATCGTCGTTGGCTACCAGCTCCAGACGGCCATCCTCAAGGATGGCTGGCCACAAGGTCCGCGCCACCTCAGCGGTGTCCTTCGGAACTCGAATAGTGGCAAGAAAGGGAAGTCTGGCAAGGGAGAAGGCAGTGGCGGCCGTGGCGGGCAAGACATCCCTGCCCCTGGAGCAGACTCCCAAGAGCAAGAGGTCGACACTCACCGCTGGGAGACCATCTTTCGGGAGGATCGTAACGAGTACACAGCCATCGGCACAGCCTTCCCTGGTCTCAGGCAGATTGCAGGCAAGTGCTTGAAAAATGGGGCCCTCAAGCTCACTACCATCGACTCCAGCCAGGGTGGGGAGGCAGACGTCGTGATTGTGCTGACCACCAGGAGCAATGGGATGCACAGATTGGGCTTCGTCGATGACGCCAAGCGGTTGAACGTGGCGATCACGAGGGCCAAGCGGAACATCATGATGTTGGGAGACGGGCGTATGTTCGCCAACGCCGCGTGGTCCCAGCTACGTGTGCTTTCCGAATATGGGCGCTTGACCCGCCTTTGGGTCCGGTTCGGTGGCGCCAGACCTGCTGGCCACAGGCGATCCCTGGTCATAGACGAGAGGTTTGACCCACTGCCCGACCTCGCCACCTGGGTGCCCTCCCCCGTTGCCTGGAGTTGTGACGCGAAGGGAGAGGACGGGCGCAGTGAGCTCGATGCGGCCAAGAGAAAAGCCCGTGACGCTCAGGCGAACAGCTTCGCCGATCGCTACAACACCCCACTGGCTCAAGACTTCGACTGGGACTCCCTGGGCAAGGTCATCGCTGTCGGCTTGAACGAGATCCTCTCGACGCCTGCCTCTCATGTGCTCATCTTCCTGATGGCGGGGCTCCACCCGCATGAGTTCTCGCTGTCTGAGACACCGCGGCAGCCTGGCAGACTCGACCGGAAGGCATGGTCGCACCTGGGCTTCCTGTTCGACATGTCCTTGGGTCTAGACGCGACCAATCTGGTCTACAACATGCTCTGGGCAGCCATAGTGTGGTCACTCGGCCTTGGCACTCCCTGGGAGGACGCAGACCACGCAGTGTGCAACGAATCCCTCCCCCCGGTGCCGCGCGTCAAGGGCAGACGTGCGACGCTCTGTGGTCGGCGCCAGTGCGCTCCCAAGGGGCTGTTCCGGCAGGTTCCCCAGGCGTGGAGTGCAACAACCAGGGATTGCTGCAGACACAGGAAGCACCCTGGGATGGATGGCCTGCAGGAGATCGTGCGTAACGCCTCCGTCGATCCAACCTGGGTCAAACTCCGGGAGGAGATCAAGGACTCAGATGGCCTCCCCATGGAGTCTTGCAAGACCCGCTCGCTCTTGGTGGTCATGATGTTAATGCTCCGCGAGCCGCGGGTGTTCTTGTGGCCGTTCCCTCGCGCCGAACAGGCTGGGGACGTGATTGAAGCCATCCTGGGTTTCTGTGTCCCGTGGCAGGAAGCGCATCGAGGGTTCCAGCAGGCCTTCGCGAGCACCTGGGGCCTCACGCTGGAGGATCTGGCCGATCTTCACGGCCGCATCGAGGCAATCCTGCCCCACATCTCCAAGCTCGTTGCGGTGGCGCACCACCGCCCCGAAGCGCAGGCATCTGGCTGCCCGCAGACCTGGAGTGAGATGGACAGGCATGATTCCAGCTGAAGGCCCCGATGCTCGTCCTCGAGAAGATCGTCCCAGCCGCCTCACTGGCACCCCTGGCTTCTCCGTGTGCGCGCTGCACACCGCGCTTGCTGGCTCGGGCGCCTCCCTGGGTGACGACGACCAGGGTGCTGGGCTCGCCTACATCGGCGGCGGATTCGCGCTCTCCAACACCGATCTGGACGCTCCCATGCCGTCTGCCCCTGCTCCAGGTTCCAAGCAGGACCCTCCGCACATCTCCGACGACAGGCTGATTGCTGAGCAGAAGCATGGCAGGTTCATGTGCGACAGATGCGGCAAGGATCATCTACGCTCCACAGACGGTACATGGATCTCGGACGATGCACGCCTGATGGTAGCGCAGAACTGGCCCCAGGCCTACCTCGACGGTACAAACATGGGATGGCACTGCGAGATCTGCTGGATCCGACACCTGGAGGAAGAGGGCATCCCAGCACCAACTGGTGCAACAGTCGCGGATAAGGTCAAGGAGTACGAACATTGGAGGACAGGTGGCGCAAGTGGCAGGAAGGCGGTTGCCCTCCCCTCCCTGGGTCATCTCCCACTTGGCTTCGGATGCAGCCCCCAATCGGGCACGAGGACGCTGGCGGATCTCATCATGACGCCGACGGGCATGCACATCCCCACGCGCGCCAACGCCGCTATCCCCATCCTCCGGGTCAGAGATGAGCGGTTCGGCCTCAAAGCTGCGGAGAACAAGCTCTACTCAGCTCGGTGCGACACATGCCCCCCAGGGGCACCGCTCCTAGTCTGGAAGATTGGAGCACCTCCCCTGGGCTGCTTCATATGGAAGGCAAAGGAAGGAGTGGGTGTGCCCGAGCAAGCCGGGTTGCCTCCCATCGAGCGGCGAGCCATAGCCTGGTGGGGGCGCGACTGGAACGCCACGTGGTGCTGCCGGCGGTGCCTGGTCACCATCTGGAACATCGGGCCCGCGACCCTGGACCACATCATTGGGAGAGACTACAGGGCACTTTATCCAGCTGAGGCCCCTGTCCTGCCAACGCTCAATAGCCAGACTGTGGCGGATGCGCCAGTGGATATTCTCAGCACCCTTCCCTGGATGGGCGCTGACGCCAAGGCCCCAGATCGCTTCACCAAGACAGGAGCAGCAAACCTCCCTGGGTCCAGCGCCTCGGGAACAGCTGCTCCCGTGGCCGAGCAGGCCCCCAGGACTCTCTCGCAGCTCATGGAGCTCCTGCCGGAGCTGCCAGTCCCTCAGTGGCCGCTCCTGGACAGCAGGGGCGTCACCAGCCCCACGCTCAGGCCAGACGACCCCAGGAGTGGGTCTGGCAACGGAGACGTGGTCGTTCAGCAGCTCCTCGTGGCCTACCTCCGGGACTTCCACCCTGGATTGGACTACATGTGGCGGCAGTTCTGTCACGGCCATTGCGATGATAACATCCCAGAGCCTAAAAACGAAGAAGCCTCTTGGCCAGGCAGTCGGTTGACGAGGTTTCTCAGGGCGGCGTGCGGCGACAACATCCCGAAGGATTGCTTCCCGCCCAACCAGCCCTGGGCAGGCAAGCGGCTGGCCGCCGCACGAGTCGTCTCCCACCTCACCAACGGCGAGAAACACAAAGAGGCCTGGGAGCGGCACGTCTCGACCCTCGCCCCGGAGAGTGGCCTCGACCCAGTCAGATACGAGATGGGCGCGCTGACGAGCTTCCTGCTCAGCCTCAGTGCCGATGCCCTGGCCTCGACAACCATCACCTCCTTGGCGGAGTCGCACGTGCAGGCCATGAGCGAGGACATGCCCGGCAACGCGGCAGGGCGCCCTCCGGCACAGTGGCTGGGCCCCAAGCTCGAAGCTCCAGCAAGACCCGAGGGAGGCACCTCCACAGCGGTTGGTGCAGACAACTCCCTGGGTACGAAGGACGCCGAAATGGGTGCTGGAGACGCGCAGGTGCCTGGCCTAGCTGCCAAAGAGGAGGACAACGAAGACGAGGTTCCTGCTGCTGAGCGAGCGGATTCGGCCGACTTTGGAAGCCCCCACGAGCCTCCTCCCCCTGATGACTGCGCGGGCCCGGCCGCTGGCCCCGCTGAAGATGACGGCCCTGGCGCCAGGCCGCCACAGCAAAGCCCAAAGGCAGAGCGCATGGAACCCAGCTCCGACGACGACCCCTTGGCCGCCTGGGGTCGTACAGCCACCACCGAGCAGAACGCCGGTGGTTCCAGCGGGCCAGGTCAAGATGAAGCCGCGCGAGAGAGAGGCGCAGCGCAGGGCCGCCGCCCCCCACTACGCAACACACAGACGCCAGACCGCAGGCTTGCCTACTCTGGCGCAGCGGGACGACGCGCTCTCAACCAGCTGACCGACGCCCACGGCGGCCCCATGCACAAGGCCTGGTTGGGCTCCGTGGACTTGGAGCGCCGCGGAGATACGCCCGCCAAGCGCATCACCAGACACCAATTGGACTTGGGTGGAGTATTCTGCGCCCTTTGGTCGGCCTACACATAAGGCATCCGGATCCCTGGGTGCAAGGATCCCAAGTCAGACCCGAAGCTGCACACGGACGAGAACATCAACAAGTTCTTGGATGACTGGAAGCGCTGTGGATACGATGCCTACGCGATGGACAAGAAGTATAACTTCCGCATCGACTTGGCAACGGTTCGGTCCGAATACATGCGCCACGCCAGGACCGACGGCACGGGCAAGGGCAGCCACTAGCAGAGCAGCTGGTATGACCGAGCTGGGAGCTCCTGGGACGCCTGGGACAACTGGCAGAGTGGCTGGAGCTCTGGCTGGCACGACGACCAGTGGCAGTCAGGAGGCAAGCGTGGTGGCGGCAGGCCAGACGATCGTGGCGAGAAGAGACAACGGTGGGGCGACTGAGCCCCCCCCATCCCCAAGAGATTCAGGTGCAGCGTCCGATTTCCACACTCTGTGCAGCCTTCAGCTGCCTCCCTGGGTTACGTTTCATATACTCGTGTGGCGGCCTTCAGCCGCCCTCCCTGGTACGCGCACTTCCTGCCTTTGGACCCAAGTGTGTTTACCGGCAATACCGTCTGCATGACTGCGCTGGGGCGTGTTGCGTGCAGGCCATAGTTGGCCCCTGGCCCCGCTGTAGTTGTTTTCGCCTCTGGCCCTGTCGGACTTCGCCCCCCGGCCTCGCGGCTCTGTGACCGACGCAAAGATGGCTTCGCCTCGTCACTGTCTAGAACCGCACTCTCACTCCCTGGGTTTCTTTAAGGTACTTCGGCCTTCAGCTGCTCTTCTTTGCTATTCCCTGGGGGCGACCTTGGGCGGGTGGCGTCCCGACAGCGGGTTTCGAGCGCATGACCAGATGGTGCACTTCTGAGCCGTTGAGGTACGCCTCCGGCACGGTGGCGTGGTGTGCCCACCCGTAAGGACGTTGTTGCCGCGCCCAGACGCAGGGACGCAGTTGCGCACCCACTTGCGCGCACCGGCCACAGTGTTGCCGCGTCTGGTCGGCGGACTGAGCCTATACCTGTGCCTACTGCGTACGCCTGATTCCTTTGTTGGCCGCCAGTTCCTGTTGCCCGGACTGGCATCATCCCATCGTCGCTCCCCCGCTCTACCTGGATGAGCGGCCCTTAGCTCCCTGGGCTTCTTCGTGACCACTGGCTGTTGCTTCGGCTGCAGCTGGTAAGCGGCAGCGCAGCTTTCCCAGAGCGCCATCTTCTTACACTTCACTCTGGTACGCCAGGGTACCAAGGATAGGCGTGGCTCTGTGTATGCTTGTCACGTTAGATGCTCCCTGGTACGCGTTCCTGCTCTTATCTTTGGTTGCTAGTCGCGACTTGTGCCTGGTAGAAGATTGGGACAGTTGTACCTTCCGCATAGCGCCACATCATGTTACCTGATGGCTCGCTTGCGAACGCATCTCTGTTCGAGGTTGTCTTCCCGGGCCTGACGTGACTTGTTCGGTTACAGACACCACGAATTTCGCGCCATTTTGGCTGCCTTGGTGCGTACTCTGAAGCTGCGACGGTTCGCTGGCGCTGTCAGGGTCCAACCTCTCCCTACGGTGTGCAGTTAGGCGATAGCTTGCGCGTCTCTCGGACGCTTCTGCTTGAGCATGGTTCAGACACCCTGGGACCCTATGGTGCGCCATTCGCTGCGCCGAGGTTTGCAGACTCCCAACTGTTCAGATCGTGTACCCAAGCGGCGTACTGCTTGGCCATGGCCTCAGACACCTTGGGGTTATTTGCATCGCGCCATTTTGGCAGCGTAGTTACAGACTCCCTGGGTGCAGGTCCCTGGGCTTCAGACACCCTGGGTTGCAGCGCCCTTGCACCCGCCGCCCCGGCGCCGGCCGCGGCCCGCGCGCGCGTCCGCCCAATTAGTTTCGGCCGCAGCCCGACCGTTACTCGCCGCCGCTGGCGCTTCCGCCCGCGGCTGTAAAAAAAAGTATCCCCGCCAGCTGAACTTTAGCCCCGCTCGCTGGATCGGTCCTTCGAGCCGCCGAACAAAAAAGTACCCCCACCAACTCCGTAGCCTGGCTCAAGCCGTCTCGGCTCAAGCCAGCGCGCATCAGGGCGCGTGCTGGCCTGGGCGGCCCGCGGGGCACGAGCGCGTGCGGGGCGCGCGCGCGTGGAATGGGCGACGGCACGCGGGCGGCCTTCGAAGGCTGCCCGCGCCCAGCGCGGCGTGAAAAAGGCGGCCGCCCGGCGCCAGCGGTGCTTCGGGGCGCAGGGGCGAGCCCTCCTGCTCGCCTGGCGCGCGGGCGCCGCGTGTGCCAGAGATGGCAGGCGTCGAAGACGATTCCACGGCGATCGAGGGCGTGGCGGAGTGGATCACGAACAACGTCAAGGCGTCCGTGTGCGACATCCCGCTGAAGGACCTCGACATGGTGGTGTCCTTCGCCAGCAACTCCACGACGATCAAGGAGATGTTCGAGCTCGTGGCGGACCAGATCCCGAACAACATCAAGGCCTACGAGTACGACATCCCGCGGAAGGATCTCAAGATGGTGGTGCTCTGCGCCAGCAACTCCACGACGATCCAGGAGGGGTTGAAGCTCGTGGCGGAGTGGATCCCGGACATCATCAAGGCGTCCGTGAGCGACATGCCGCTGAAGGACCTCAAGATGGTGGTGCCCTTCGCCAGCAACTCCACGGGGATCCAGGAGATGTTCGAGAGCATGGCGGAATGGATCCCGAACAGCATCAAGGCGTCCTTCGCCGGCAACTCCGCGGCGATCCAGGAGATGTTCAGGCTCGTGGCGGAGTGGATCCCGAACAACATCAAGGCCTCCCTGTACAACATCCCGCTGAAGGACCTCGAGATGGCGGCCGTCGACGACGACTCCACGGCGATCCAGGAGATGTTCGAGAGCGTGGCGGAGTGGATCGCGAACAACATCAAGGCGTCCGTGTGCGACATCCCGCTGAAGGACCTCGACATCATGGTGGCCTTCGCCAGCGCCTCCAAAACGATCCAGGAGATGTTCGAGCTCGTGGCGGACCAGTTCCCGAACAACATCAAGGCCTACGAGTACGACATCCCGCCGAAGGATCTCAAGATGGTGGTGGTCTTCGCCAGCAATTCCACGACGATCCAGGAGGGGTTGAAGCTCATGGCGGAGTGGATCCCGGACATCATCATGGCGTCCGTGAGCGACAGCCCGCTGAAGGACCTCAAGATTGTGGTGGCCTTCGCCGGCAACTCCACGGGGATCCAGGAGATGTTCGAGAGCATGGCGGATTGGATCCCGAACAGCATCAAGGCGTCCTTCGCCGGTAACTCCGCGGCGATCCAGGAGATGTTCTGGCTCGTGGCGGAGTGGATCCCGATCAACATCAAGGCCTCCCTGTACAACATCCCGCTGAAGGACCTCGAGATGGCGGCCGTCGACGACGACTCCACGGCGATCCAGGAGAGGTTCGAGAGCGTGGCGGAGTGGATCACGAACAACATCAAGGCGTCCGTGTGCGACATCCCGCCGAAGGACCTCGACATGGTGGTGGCCTTCGCCAGCAACTTCACGACGATCCAGGAGATGTTCGAGCTCGTGACGGACCAGATCCCGAAGAGCATCAAGGCCTTCGAGTACAACGTACCGCTGAAGGACCTCAAGATGGTGGTGACCTTCGCCAGCAACTCCACGGGGATCCAGGATATGTTCGAGCGCTAGGCGCAGTGCATCCCGTGCAACTCCACGGTGATCCAGGACATCAAGACGGTGATAGCCATCGCTGGCAACTCCACGACGATCCTGGAGAGGTCGAAGCTCGTGGCGGAGTGGATCCCGAACAACATCAAGGCCTCCGTGTGCGACATCCCGCTGAGAGACCCCAAGATGGTAGCCGTGGGCGGCAATCCCACGGCGACCCAGGAGATGTTCGGGCGCCTGGCGGAGTGGATCCTGAACAACATCAAGGCCTCAGGGTACGTCATCCCGCTCAATGACCTCGAGATTGTGGTAGCCTTCGCCGGCGACTCCTCGATAATCCAGGAGAGGCTGAGGCTCGTGGCGGAGTGGATCCCGAACAACTTTCCAGGCCCACTACCACGACCGACATCCGCCGCAACGACGTCGGATGGAGCTTCGATCGATTGCTGCGACCTTGGCTCCGGGACACCACCGACGCCGCGGGGATCTGGCAGTCGTACCTCGGTGAACGGTCTGACCGCCAGACCCTCGCTTTCTGCCTGGCCACCCTCCAGCGCCAAGGTGTCAGGTCTGTGGGCGTCCACGCCTGCTTTCAGCGACCGGGCGGCGAGGACATCTACGAGGAGGCCATGGCCGAACTCGAGGGTATGGCGTGTGCTTTCGCGCGATCGGGCCTGGCGCTATCTGTTCACGCGCGGGGGCGCTTCCACCGGCGCCGTGTCGTCTTGTGCCGCGGCGACATCGGCGTCGCGGAACTCGCGCTCGACCTGGGCCTCCACTTCTTCGCCCCGCCGCGGCGGCAGGCGGAAAGCGCGGCCCTCGAGCTGCGCAAAACGAAGGCACAGCAGGTGGTCGTCCGGCACGGTCGCTTCCGCCTTGGTTCCGCTCTCGAGGCGGAGGCGGGGATGGGCTGCTGCCGCCGCCGCGGGCCGCGGCTGACGCGGGCCTGCTCTCCAACGCCCGAATCCGACAGTTGCTGCGCAGCATCGCGCTGCTTCGGCGGATCGTCGCCCAGGGGTGGCGGCTTCGCCCCGCCCAATCGGCCAAGATGGCCCGCGAGGGCCCCTTGCGCGCCGAGCTGGCCCGGAGACGATTCGAGCGCTTCGGCCCGGGCCTGCGCGAAGAGGTGAACCCGGCCTGTGAGTGTCCCAACGAGCTGTGTGCGCGCGACGGCTACCTGCTGAACCCTGGCGCCTGCCTGCGCTGCCGCCGCTGCCGCTTGCTGCGGCCGGCGCGGCTGCTCCGCTCGCTGATCCCGATCCGGCGCCGGCGTCTGCGGCGCAGTTGGCGACAGGCTGCGCCTGTGATCCAGCGTGGTTGGCGCCGGCGATTGACCGAACGCCGCGAGCGCCAGCGCCCTCGCCACGGACAGCGGCAACAGCAACTACACCAGCAGCAGCCACAACTGCAGCGGCAGCAACAGCAGCAGCAGCAGCCACAGCAGCCCCGGCGAGGTCGCGATGGAGCCGCTGAGCGTCGTCATCGGGGGCCCGGTACCGAGCAGCCTCGCCGAGAAGATATCCTTGCCGATCCCCGCCCTAGAGATCGCGGTGACCTTCAAGGCGTCCGTGTGCGACATCCCGCTGAAGGACCTCAGGATGGCAGCCGTCGCCGACGGCTCCGCGGCGATCCGGGAGATGTTCGAGAGCGTGGCGAACTAGATCCCGAACAACATCAAGGCCTCCCTGTAGCACATCCCGCCGAAGGATCTCAAGATGGCGGTGGTCTTCGCCAGCAACTCCACGACGGGCCAGGAGACGCTCATGCGTGTAGCGAATTGAATCCCGAACAACATCAAGGCGTCGGTGAGCGAAATTCCGCCGAAGGGCCTGAAGACTGCGGCCTTCGCCGACGACTCCGCGGCGATCCAGGAGAGGTTCGAGAGCGCGGCGGAGTGGATCCCGAACAACACATCAAGGCGTCCGTGTGCGACAGCCCACTGAAGGACCTCGTAATGGTGGTGGCCTTCGCCAGCAACTCCACGGCGATCCAGGAGATGATCGAGCTCGTGGCGGACCAGATCCCGAACAAACATCAAGGCCTCCGAGTGCGACCTCCTGGGGATCCAGGAGATGTTCGAGAGCACGGCGGAGTGGGTCCCAAGCAGCATCAAAACAATCCTCGCTGGCAACTCCACGGCGTTTCAGGAGATGTGCAGGCTCGTGGCGGAGTGGACCCCGAACAACATCAAGGCCTCCCTGCACAACATTCCGCGGAAGGGCCTCAAGATGGCGGACGTCGACGACGACTCCACGTCGATCCAGGAGATGATCGAGAGCGTGGCGGAGTGGAGCACGAACAACATCAAGGCGTCCGTGTGCGACATCCCGCTGAAGGACCTCGACATGGTGGTGGCCTTCGCCCGCAACTCCGCGACGACCCAGGAGATGTTCCAGCTCATGGCGGACCAGATCCCGAACAACATCGAGGCCCCCGAGTGCGACATCCCCCTGAAAGATCTCAAGATGGTGGTGGTCTTCGCCAGCAACTCCACGACGATCCAGGAGGGTTTGAAGCGCGTGGCGGAGTGGATCCCGGACAACATCAAGGCGTCCGTGAGCGACATCCCGCTGAAGGGCCTCAAGATGGTGGTGGCTTTTGCCAGCAACTCCGCGAGGGTCCAGGAGATGTTCGAGAGCATGGCGGAGTGGATCCCGAACAGCATCAAGGCGTCCGTCGCCGGCAACTCCACGGCGATCCAGGAGATGTTCAGGCTCGTGGCGGAGTGGCCCCCGAACAGCATCAATGCCTCCCTGCACAACGTATTGCTGAAGGACCTCGAGACGGCGGCCGTCGACGACGACTCCACGGCGATCCAGGAGATGTTCGAGAGCGTGGCAAAGTGGATCTCGAACAACATCGAGGCGCCCGGGTGCGACATCCCGCTGAAGGACCTCGACGTGGGGGAGGCCTTCGCCGGCAACTTCACGACGGTCCAGGAGATGGTCGAGCTCGTGGCATACCAGGCCCCGAACAACATCAAGGCCTCCGAGTACGACTTCCCGCTGAAGGATCTCAAGATGGTGGTGGTCTTCGCCGCCGGCAACTCCACGACGATCCAGGAGGGGCTGGAGCGCGTGGCGGAGTGGAGCCCGGACAGCATCAAGGCGTCTGTGAGCGACATCCCGCTGAAGGACCTCAAGATGGTGGTGGCCTTCGCCATCAACTCCGCGGGGATCCAGGAGATGCTCGAGAGCATGGCGGAGTGGATCCCGAACAGCATCAAGGCGTCCTTCGCCGGCAACTCCACGGCGAAACGCTCGAAGCGCACCGAGCCGGGCCGTGCCTGGCGAAATTATCTGACGGGCGGTGCGTTGGAGATGCGCAGTCTCGTGGCGGAGTGTATCCCGAACAACGTCGAGGCCTCCCTGCGCAAAATTCCGCTGAAGGGCCTCAAGATGGCGGACGTCGACGACGACCCCGCGTCGATCCAGGAGATGATCGAGAGCGTGGCGGAGTGGAGCATGAACAACATCAAGGCGTCTTTGTGCGACATCCCGCTGAAGGACCTCGAAATGGTGGTGGCCTTCGCCCGCAACTCCGCGACGATCCAGGAGATGTTCCAGCTCATGGCGGACCAGATTTTGGACAACATCAAGGCCCCCGAGTACGACATCCCCCTGAAAGATCTCAAGATGGTGGTGGTCTTCGCCAGCAACTCCACGACGATCCAGGAAGGGTTGAAGCGCGTGGCGGAGTGGATCCCGGACAACATCAAGGCGTCCGTGAGCGACATCCCGCTGAAGGGCCTCAAGATGGCGGTGGCCTTCGCCATCAACTCCGCGGGGGTCCAGGAGATGTTCGAGAGCATGGCGGAGTGGATCCCGAACGGCATCACGGCGTCCCTCGCCGGCAACTCCACGGCGATCCAGGAGATGTTCAGGCTCGTGGCGGAGTGGATCCCGAACAACATCAAGGCCTCCCTGTACAACATCCCGCTGAAGGGCCTCGAGACGGCGGCCGTCGACGACGACTCCACGGCGACCCAGGAGATGTTCGAGAGCGTGGCGGAATGGAACACGAGCAACATCGAGGCGTCCGCGCGCGACATCCCGCTGAAGGACCTCGACATGGTGGTGGCCATCGCCAGCAACTCCACGACGATCCAGGATATGTTCGAGCTCGTGGCGGACCATGCCCCGAACAACATCGCGGCCTCCGAGTACAACTTCCCGCTGAAGGACCCCGACGTGGTGGTGGCCCTCGCCAGCAACTCCACGACGATCCAGGAGATGTTCGAGCTCGTGGCGGACCAGGTCCCGAACCACGTCAAGGCCTCCGAGTGCAACATCCCGCTGAAGGACCCCGACATGGTGGTGGCCCTCGTCAGCAACTCCACGACGATCCAGGATATGTTCGAGCTCGTGGCGGACCAGGTCCCGAACAACATAAAGGCGTCCGTGTACAACACCCCGCTGCAGGACCTCAAGATGGCAGCCTTGGCCCACGGCTACACGGCGATCCAGGAGATGTTCGAGGGCGTGGCGGAGCGGATCCCGAACAACATCAAGGCGTCCTTCGCCGGCAATTCCACGACGATTCAGGAGACTTTCAGGCGCGTGGCGACTTGAATCCCGAACAACATCAAGGCCTCCCTGTACGACATCCCGGTGAAGGACCTCAGGCGGGCGGCCTTCGCCGACAACTCCACGGCGGTCCAGGAGATGCTCGAGCACATGGTGGAGTGGATCCTGATCAACATCAAGGCCTCCCTGTGCGGCATCCTGCTGGAGGGGCTCGAGACGGCGGCCTTGGCCAACAACTCCGCGGCAATCCAGGTGATGCTCAAGCATGTGGCGGAGTGGATCTCGAGCAACTCCACTGCGGTCCAGGAGATGTCCGAGAGCGAGGCAGTGCGAATCCCGAACAACATCAAGGCCTCCGTGTGCGACGTCCCGCTGAGGGGACTCATCCCGTTCCCGTGTCTGCACTTCTTAGTGAACAGGTGTGTTTTAGATGTTCGCTTGAGCACGATCTCCACCTAGGCACTCATTTCCGCTGGGTGCACCCGGATGCCAGGCAGGATATCAGAGTAGCACTGCGCGACTGCAGCCTCTGCGGGGGCCGCGCGACTGGCATATGTGTACAAAGTCTTGCCGGTTTCTGATTCGGAGGGCGAGTCTGAGGGCTCAGACCTCTGAGCCCCCCCCCCTTTTTCCTTCTCTCCCTTGTGCAGTCTCACCCCGTCCATGCCCCTCTGCTGGGCAAGCCGCGGCTCTTCGCCGCGAAGACGGCATTGCCGGTGCAGGCGCTGCCAGTCCCGCTTTCGCGCTGCTGGGGAGCGTGCGCGGAAAAAAAAGACTTGACTACCCCGCGGGGCAGGGGGCCGTCAACGTCGCCCCTCAGGGGCACCTACCTTGGACGACTGGGATTGGTGGCCAACAGCACACCTCCAGCGCCCCACCTCACTAGAGACATGGCTCGACAGCAGGTGGGGGGTGCCTACCGTGTCCAACGACCGAGGGCCCCCCCCCCTGCCGCCCACCATGTTAGGGCTCTACGGCCCTCGGCCGCGGCCTTCTCCGTCATGTCCACCACTTTGCGCGGCGCCTGGCGGCCTCCCCCATCCTGTTCGCCGAGTTCGATCCTGCCCCGCGAATGCGACTGGGCTGTCACCCAGCGCCGGGTTGGACTCGCCTCCCCTCCTCCTCCCCCCTCCCCCGCCGTAACCATTCACCAGTTTGAGCGGCTCTTGGCTGCGCCCCCAACGAAGTTTGCCCTGGCTGGCAACGGGGCAGTGCGACGGTCCATCACAAGATTGGAGGCCTTGGACACGTTCGTCGTGCCACGGCACGTGGTGGCACCCCTTACCTACATTCGCCAGTCTGTACGGCTCTTGGCTGCGCCCCCAGCGTTTCGATTGAACAAGACAGGGCAGCTGACAGGTTCAGCCGCCCCTCCTGGCCCCCACGGCTCACAGCGAAGTGCGCCTTGGTTGAGGACCTGGCAGTGCTGTGGCACAGGCCAAGCGTGGGGCCCCCTTGGCATGGCCTCGTGACAGCGACTCGGTTCCCCCCCCACGTTCATGCGCAGGTATCTGCGGCTCTTGGCTGCGCCCCCAGCGTTGCGCGTGGACATCGTGGCCGTGGAGCGGACAGGTCAGCCACCTCAACGGGCCACCACGGCCCACAGCGCAGTGGGCCCTGGTTGAGGACGTGACAGTGCCGCGACACATCCCAGCGAAGAGGCCATGGACACGGCTGTCTTACCTGCGGCCCTTGCGTGCATCCCCCCTGCGGCTCTTGGCTGCGCCCCCAGCTTTGTGAAGAGACGCCGTGACAGAGGAGCTGACAGGTTCAGCCGCCCCCGTGGGTAGCTGTGACCCGCAGCTCGCGTCCAGCTGGGCCAGGGCCCACAGTTTGTGCAAGGCCTGCCCGAGCTAACCACAATGTGATTTCCCCCAGTCTCCCTGGTCGACACAACGTGGTACCTCGGCTGGTCGCCACTGCGTACGCTGTCATGAGGGCGCGTGAGAGTGGCCTCCCCCCATGACACAGCCGCGGCCAGCGGGCCTCCCATACCTGCGGGCCGGCCCGCATGGTGCGGTTCGGGACGACCCAGGTGCTGGGCTTTGGCAAGGTGCTGACCGGTGCACCTCACCGCTTCTGGTACCACCCGATGTCGGGCCTGGTTTGGGCGTGTTCCTGCACAAGTGGTTCATCCTTTGGCAGGTCGCCGCGGATCCCCCAGCAGGTCCGTCATAGGTGTCCCGGTTTACGCTTGCGACTTTGCGCCCCCGACCCCCGTGTCGGATAAGTTGCTCGCGGTGAACGCCGGCGACGTCGACGACAGGGTCTCTGACTGTGGTCGTCGCCCTCGCGTTCAAGCTCCTGCACAAGCGGTTCATCCTTTGGCAGATCATCACGGTCCTCCCTGCAGCTTTACGCCCCCGATCCTCAGAGTCGGACAAGTTGCAGGCTGTGGGCTCAGACGACACGGTCGACTGTTCCTTGACTGGGTTCTGGACGCTCTCTGGCCAAGAGCGTCCATTGAGTCACTGTGAGTGAGGCTTCCATCTGTGCCCTCCCATTTTCCTACTGCCGCGTGCCCTCGCGCCCGCCGTGTCTCCCCTGTTCCTTGCCTCACCTGTTGTTGTATGCACGGTGCGGCCACGCCTGGCCACCCCGTGCCGCCACAGTGCAGCGTGCTCCACGCCCTGTCGCGCTGTCCGGTACGGTTGGAGCTTGGCGCCACGTGTGCGACAGCTCCTTTCCGTCCGTTTCCAGTTCTGTGCTTGCGTTCCCCGCTGTCGGGCCGCCAGCGTCAGCCCCCAATGAGGGTCATTTTGTCCCTGGCATGTGCACTTGCTACAGCGGCCTATGCGCCTCTGCAGCTAATTATCTTGCTCTGTGCCCCAGCCGGGTCCGCCCCGCTTCCTGGATCTGTCCTCGGAGCCGCCAATCAAAAAAGTATCCCCACCAACCCATCCAGTAACGATGCCCAGGCGAATGGAGGTGATCAGGGAAGTGAGGGAGCGTACAGAGTAACAAAAGGCCGGGGAACCCGTCTTACCCAAGACGGCGAGGATGGAGGAGGAATCGGAAGAGGATGAGGAGGATGAGGAGGAGGAGGAACTGAAGGAGGAGGAGGGGGAGCGGGAGGAAGGAGGAGGGAGGAGGAACAATAGGCGGATGATGATGATGATGAGGAGGAGGAGGAGGAGGAACAGGACGATAATGAGGAGGAGGATGAGGAGAAGGGCGAGCAGAATGGCCAGAGGCCTCTTGGATGCCTCTCGGAGTCTCTTCGGATGTCTCTCGGGGGCGTCCTGAAGGCCTCTTAGGGCGTCTTGGGAGCGTCTTGGCGGTCCCGGAGGCCTCTTGGGGCGTCTTGGGTGCCTCGGGGAGCCTCTTGGGGACCTCTTGGGGCCATTTTGGGGCCATCTTGGGGCCATCTTGGCGCCTCTTGGGGCCTCCTGGGCGCCTCTTGGGGCCATCTTGGAGGCGATCGATCAAAGAAGAGGGTGGGGTTAATTAGCCCCGCCCCTCTAGATCCTCTAAAATTGCCTCTTGGGCTCATCTGGAGGCGCTCTTGGAGCGCTCTTGGGCGCTCTTGGGGCCGTCTTGAGGCTCTCTTGGGCCCCTCCTTTTGGGGCTATCTTGGGCCCTCTTGGGGCCATCTTGAGGCCTCGGAAGGCCATCGGAAGCGAAAAGGCGAGAAAGCAAAATCATTGGTTTTCCTTATGTTTTTGAAGGATTTTGGCCTCTTGGGGGGTCTCCTTGGAAGTCTCGGAGGCCTCTTGGAGTCGTCTTGGGGCGATTTTGGGGCCTCTTGGAGCATCTGGGGCGCCATCTTGAGGCATCTTGGGCTATCTCTAGGCATCTTGGAGGTCATCTTGGCCTCTCCGAGGCCCTCTTGGAGCCGTCTTGGGCCATCTTGGACGCTCCAACGCGTCGCGGAACCCCCCGTCCAGGTCCAGGGGAGGGGGTTAGGGGGAGGGGTAAACCCCTCCCCGAAGGGGAAGGAGGGAAGATGGAAGAGGAAACTCCCTAAACCACCTACGCCCAGAGGGCTGGTGGGATTTGGCACGTTCTCTTTTGGCAGGAGTCTTTCTACCGCACCTGAGACAGGTAACCGAGGGCCCAGTGTAGTGGAGCATGTGAGGCGTGTTGAGGACTTTGAAGGGCCTCCTACGCACTCCTAAGACAGCACCGCCTACTCCTCTCCTCCTCTTCGGGAGGTTAGGGGTGGTGTCTGAAAAGGATCATACAATGATCATACTTGCAATGTGAGGTCTGCCACACATTGGAGCATGCTCTGGACACTTTGATACCTCTGCCGGTACACTGCTGAAGCTCCTACGGGCCTCGGGGCAAGGGCGGTTCCTTCTTTTGCCGCCTCGTCAGCTTCTTTGTTGCCTCTGGAGAGGGTCCGAATTCTGGGGCCAGTGGAGGTAAGCCCCTCTGTGGAGTGAGCCTTCACCTTGAATATCTGCAGGCCTTCGAAGCCTGGAACCACATCGTCTAGCACTTGCCAAATTTGATTCTAGACATCTGCATGCGACCTAGCTCCGCGAGTGCACCAAGGCCTGTCTCTCCTGAGTCCCGTGACCACCGTATCGTAATCGATGGCGATCGTGAGCGGCGGCTTGGCGTACTGCAGGAGCTGGGCAAGCGCTATCAACTCGCATCTAAGGACAGACAGAGGGGCTCGATCTCCAGCAGGGCATCCTTATTGCGAGAAGACGACCTCGAGCGAATCTTCCGAAACGAACGAGAAACTCCGACTGAAGCTTTTGTATCCAGGATGCCCTACTCCAGATCCGTCGGCAAAGGCGAAGCCACTGCACAGGCCAGCCTCTCCATTGCGTGTGTGAATTCTTTCAACCTGCACGTCGAGAGTAGGATCTGGAATCGGGTGATTCACTATCCCTCGTGGGAAAAGAGCGTGCCTTCTGCGGTCGATGCTGCTCGGTGGATGATGCCAGCATGGTTGTCGGCAATTTTCCTTCTATGCTGGCCGAGGGCGACACAGCGGCAAAACGGTGCTGCTGCGAACCTATCTCCAATTCGCGGGCTTGGCATTCCCTGACATCCGCCCCTCCTTTTCCAACGAGCGTCCTGCGTGCAACATGCGGCACAGACGTAAGTCTCGATGGTCCCCCTCCTAGGGTAGTGCCTCTGCACTTTCTGTCGGAGGAGGGCTCTGGCAGGTTCTGGAAATGGCCTTTGGACCTCAGGCAGAATCTGCTTTTCAGCCCACTCCTCTAGTGCCACCTGCTCCGACCGAGAGGTGGCCAAGGCCTTGACGATTGAGGGCGGGGTGGTCCTGAGGTTCAGCAGCTCTTTGTGATGCGTCCAACATGCGTGTGGCGCTGGCCACGTCCACACAAACGGTCCAACGATCCGTAGAGGGCAGTGCCAGGGCCTTTGATCTCATTCCAGTCGAACTTGCCCTGCTTGGCCTCTCTCGCTGCTGCCCGCACGACTGCGCTGCTCAAGCCCGCCTTGAGCGTGATATAGGCGATGGTCTGGTCCCAAACCGCTATGGCCCACTTGCCGGGAGGAGGCGGAGGTGGAGGAGAGGAGGAGGAGGAGGAGGAGGAGGAGAAGGAGGAGGAGGAGGAACAAAAAGGAGGAAGAGGAGGAGGAGAAGGAGGAA